ATAGTTTAAGTTTCAAACATTTTATACTGCTGCAGAGATATGCAAGATGCATAATTGGTGGATCAGAGGTGCATTATTGAATTGGTATTCCATGACTTTTGTTAGTCTAGCAAAATGGATAACCAGGTAGGGTTCTGGAACCAAAGGTGCCAGAAAATACTATGTATCTGTAATATTCAGCTGATGATCCATTCATACATATATTGTCTTTTTTAAAAATTATATTTCATCTTTATATTGACTGGTAATCATAATTTAATTATTTAGAATCAAATGTTCTGATATCATCTGAGGACAATTGTGTCAAACAGGTAAAGTCTTAGTCTAATACAGTAAGTCTCTGAGTTATGACAGTCCTAACCTATGGCAATTTGTGATTATGACTCAATCTCCATTAATCTTGTTTCAACTCATGCCATTTGGATTGTACATACGACATGGTGGAAGAATTTATTTATGCTCCCTATGTGATTTTTTTGCCTTAATTATGTTAACAGATGTCATAGAAATTTGTATCCTAGATTATTACTTTACTTTTGTCTAGGTGATTGACATAAGTGCTTGTTCATGGAAAATCATCTATATGTTCTAACTTACATGGAAAGCCATATTACAACACATTGTGGGAGGGGAACTCTGTCTTAATTCAAGCACTCCCTGTACTAGTAAACCAACTATTGTGGCACGAGTCAATGAGTGATTTTTGAGGGAGTTTTTATTTTGTTTTTTTATGTGGTAGGAACGTTAGCATGATCTAAAAAACTTTTTTTTTAGAGAGATTATCTTTATCCCTTTAACATTAATTTATAATTTTAATACCTGTCTATATTTCTGAGATGAGGTATTGTAATTATTTATGTTGTTCAGACTGTTGTCCTCATCTTTATTGTCATGTTCATCAGAGTATAAAAGGTGTCATTTATGTATCTCAGCCATAGGGTTGGCTTTAGTGATATGGATTCTAATGCCATTTCTTCAAAGTATTACATGTATATGTTTCCCACTGATGGTCATAATGGTGAGCCCATTGCTAAGCCTTCATTCTGTCAACATACGCCTGATTCCATTTTGAAGTGTGTTGTTTATGTACAGAAAGTCAGCACCACCCTCAGGTTATCTATTGGTATACTAGTCCATTCTCCTGGGGATGAGTCTGAAGCCCATTTAGTGCCTCCTCTGTGGGTAACTTGTTGAATAAACTCACCACATCTGGTTGGATTGGATGGGAGCATCTTTGATTATTTCCATGAAGTGGGCAGGGTTTCGGACATATGAAGGTGACTTTCCTATTAATGTATGTACATGTGAGGTAACTTGGTGTTATGCTGTGACAATTGCCTTGTATGCCTTAGGTGGAAAGTAGTTTGTTCTTGATGTGAACATGACAATAAAATTGAGAACAACAGTCTGAACAATGTAAATAATTATAATTTTAACTTAAAAAAAATTAAAACAAAAAAGATGGTTACATGGGAAATTATGAAAGATAGAAAAACTCATAAAGGAAATACCAACGTTAGAGTAGTTGATGTCATCTATACAGTAGTAAAGTCTTTTACCACCTTTAGGCATATAGATGCTTCCATATTTCCATTCAGTATGCTCAGATAACTTTTGCTGAAGAGACTTTGCAGTTGTGAACCTGTCATAAAAGATATGAAAACGGAATATAAATGAACCTAAGGATTTGATTGTTAAAGCACATTTAGAAGGTACCTTCCAAAAGCTAAGAAGACTATTAAGTTGGTCAGTTTTTTTTGTTTTTTTTTGTTTAGTGTTATATCAAATTTTATGGTTTATTTAATGCTGAAATCTAAATATTTTGTACAAAATTGTTTTTGAGAGAGAGAGAAATAATGGTTTCAGCAATACATGTCTTACTAATTAACCTATAGCTGGGGGGAGAAAAGGTGGATTCATACCTTTTTCAAAGGTATTTGCATGTAAGTGAATATAACAAAACCAATGGGAACTATGCTTTCCATTTAACAATTCTCAGCTATTATCCATTATACCAGCTCCAAGATTACAGCACTCAATATTTGCAAGTGGTCAGCCATCTAGATTCTGACCAGGCTTGACATTGCTTAACTTTGGTGATTGTACAGGAACCTGTGTTTCAGCATGATATGGCCAGAAGCCACAAAGTATTAAAAAAAAATGTGAAAATTTCATTAGTAGGAAAAAATTCTGAACTATTATGTAATATCAATCCTCCTCTATGGCAGTGAATGCTGGACAATCTCCTCATAAGATGGAGAGAAGACTTAAGCAATAGAACTGTGGTTTTACAGAAGGATGCTGAGAATACTATGAACTGAACATGGGAATAATTAAATGGAAGCAAAAAGGACACATTAAGAATCAGAAGGTGAAAGTTGAAATTTCTAGGACAAATAATGAGAAAAATGGGCTTGGAGAATTTGACACTCACAGGACATAGTTAAGTCAAGAAGGAAACAGCAAGTAACCTATCTGACAAGCTTGGGTAAATGGTCAGCAAAAAAGTGATTAGGAGAGATAGCAAAAAAACAAAATGAAACTTTCTTAGAGCTACAAAGAATAGGAGGTTGTGGAGAGCCATGTTCACCCACGTCCTGAAGGGATACAGAATATAGAAGAAGATAATACAAGGTGGAATTCTATTAATGTTTTAATTAAATAGGTGATTGTAGGTTTGATAGATTTTTTTTCTGATAGTGAGAATATGAAACAAATTGAAAAGATATGTCATGTAAACAGAATATATTATAATTTTCCCCATCAGAAAGATAATCATTATATATTAAATTCAAGTAGATAATAATTCAGATATAAGTTTTTTTTGTCTTTTTTTTATCTGATTTTAAATTACCTGTTAGCATGTATGAGCAATGATCTGGTTTCAGCCATTTCCCCAGAGCTGAGACACTGCAATTTCTCAGAGAGAATATGCGTCTTCCCACAACCATTAGTGCCAATGAGCATTGCAGGCATTTGGGTATCAATCAACAGACCAAGCAGGTAAGACAATTGCTGCAAATGAAAAAAAGACTTTGTATAAACATCTAATAGATTATCTAAGCAGGTAACATGCAACAAATTGAAACAAACTTTTAGTCAATAGTGAATGGATTATCATGTATATTTGTGCTACTAACATGCACACACAAATGTAACTATAACAAGACAATTTATGAATGAAATGTTGATTTAAAATTTTTGTTTCAAAGTTTCCAAGTAGTGAATATATCTTACTTTGGGAGGCGAGAGTGAATGGGTGAAGCTCGCTAGTATTACATAAGTGCTATTTTTAGTGGATACTTGTATTTGGGTTGACACTCAGTTTATTTTTTAAACAGTATATTTATTTATTTATTTATTTTCGTCTGCCAACCTGAATATTCAAGAAATCTTATTAGATAGTAATATGTGCTCTCTGGCAAGATTTAAACTTGCATTCCCCTAGAGGAAACCTTTTGTGAGATCTTTAACCTGAATTTGAAATTTGCATGCTGACCCTAATTTTTGCATATGTTGTTGTATTCAAATTAACATAAGTAACTTTGGGAAAGATATGAATCCATTTCTTCACCCTGCTATGGGATAAATAGCAGGGCAGACTAGGCTCTTTAGTCCTGGTTGGTACTAAGTCTAAGAGAAAGACAATTCTGAATTCAAATTGAAGGAAAATTCTTTGGAGATTTTGTGTTACAGTTTGCACCATTTCTCTCTTATTAGGTTTCTCCAAAAAAGTGTAGCTGCTTCTACACAAGATATTACCATTATAATCAAATCATATATTTTGGTAGTCTGGCTGTTCAGTTCTAAGACTTAATCTCTCATACATTAAAAATAAGAGAGAGAGAGAGAGAGATTTTCTTCAGATGGTCATGGTAATATTATCTGTCCTCCAGTATCTCAAGTTCATATGATGAACAAATATCACCAGAGGCAACTTCAAATTTTTAAATAAAATAAAATAAATTGTTAAAAACATCCATAACTAAGACAGGCATTTTTAAAGCATATTCTTTCTCGCTAATATTAAGTTAGTGTGTTTAATTGAATATGGACCTATGAGCAGGTATATGGTAATATTATGAGATGAGACATTTGACATTCATTAACTGAGTAGCCAGCACTAATGTTGATTGTAATCTATAAAATCTTTGTATTAAAACAATTTTTCAGGAAAATACATTTCTCAAGTTCAGTAACTGCTCTTTCTAGTATTTTGGAGGTTTCCTTCCTAACTTTTTGTTTGAAGTAGTGTGGAACATCATCATCATGATTATGTAATTATTTTCTCTTCAAGTTACATGTGCTATTCATTTTAGTTGTTGCTGCTGTTGAAAGTCCTCAAATGATGTTGTTTCTGTTATTTAGCATAATTCTTTCTTTGTTAATCTGTAGCCCTAATCCAGGAGATCTGAAGAAATATGGTTGTCTTTATGATCTACAGGGTTTATTCAATCAAAGCCATCGATCTGAGACAGCAGTTGTATACTGTTGACAGTTCTGATATTTCTAAATGGATTGAGCCTCATGCATAACATCAGGAAAAAATGTCTTGATCTGTTGAGGCTATTAAAGAACATGACTCAAGATTTTAGGTTAAACGTTTTGGTTTCATAGCATCTTTCAGTTTTGGATGCAAGACATATACACATTAGTTGACATAGAAACATGCACATATACAGAGATATACAGATTGATTATTGTAAAATATAAGAAAGTTATAATGTAAAACTGGATATTATAATAATTTTAGGGGTCTGGGGTCAATACTAAGTGCATTGAGTTACCTACCTCAGTTTTTTCAGTGGGTATAAGGTCACTGCTCTTTTTTTGCACGATAAACTGGTCTCCACTTGACTGATGGGTCCAGGGAACAAACTTCAAAACCTCAGAGCATTCCAGCCTGAAATCGAATACCTGGAAGGAAAAAGTAAAAATATGACTGAGAAGAAAAAGAAAAGTAAAGAGAGTAAGTCAGAAAGGAAGGAAAAAGAACAAAACTAAGAATGAAATAGAAGATACAAAAAAGGAAGGAACAAAAAACACCAAAAGAATGAAGTGAAAGAAAAAGAAAAAAAAGAGAAGAAAAGAGAATGAAAAAAGAAAAAAAGAAAGACAGAAGAATAAAGAAAGAAAGAAGAAGAAAAAAAAAAAAAAAAAGAAGAAAGAAAAAAGAAAAAAAAGAAAAAAAAAAAAAAAAAGAAAGAAAGAAAAAAAAAAAGGAAAAGAAAATTGAAAAAAGAAAAAAAAAGAAAAAAGAAAAAAAGAAAAGAAAAGAAAAGAAAGAAAAGAAAAAAGAAAGAAAAGAAAAATAAAAAAAGAAAAAAAAAAGAAAAAAAAAAAAAAAGAAAAGAAAAGAAAAAAAAAAGAAAAAAGAAAAAGAAAAAAAAAAGAAAAAAAATAATAAAAAAAAAAAAAAGAAAAAAAAAAAAAATAAAAAAAAAGAAAGAAAAGAAAGAAAAAAAAGAAAAAAAAAAAGAAAAAAAAAAGAAAAATAAAGAAAGAAAAAAAGAAAAAAATCTTCCCAAGAAAAAAAAAAAAAAAAAAAGAAAGAAAAAAGAAAGAAGAAAAAGAAAAGAAAGAAAAAGAAAGCAAGAAAAGAAAAAAAAAAGAAAGAAAAGAGAATGAAAGAAAAAAGAAAGAGAATGAAAGAAAAGAGAAAGAAAGCAAAGAGAAAGAAAAATGAACAAAAGAAAGAAAAATGAACGAAGTGAACAGTAAATGGTTAAAGAAAAAATAACAGTTAAAGGAAGAAAAAAGGAAAGTTTCCAAGAATAGGTAGAGAATTTTATAAAAAAAAAAAAGGATAAATGCAAAGATAAAACTAAAATATATTCAAAGAAACAGAAAAGAAAGCAAGAACAGAAGAATATAGTTGAAAGGAAAGAAAAATAAAAAGAAAGAAAAGTGAAATAAATGAAAGCAATCAATAAATGGAAAAAAACAACGTCAGAGACAAAAGAAAAACAAAGGGAAACAAGAAAGTTCCAAATTCTTTTGTCAAAAGTATAAAAGCTCAAAATCCTCAAAGACTGACAGACATATAAGAGAGCAGCAAGAACAGATTATCTAGTTTAGAAGTGAAAGAAACGCATCAAAATACATTCCTGAAATTACTCATATTTATCTAAGTTTACAAAAAGATAAATTGCCATTTATGTATTTTCAAAAATACATAAACTACCTCTGATTGCTTGTTAAGATACAGTAAGAATCAAATTGGTCATCCAGATCACTGATATGTTTAATCCACATCATATCATTATGCGAGAGTTGAATTTTTGTTAATGGATAATATTAGTATATTATATATTATTATATAACTCATGTAGCCAAGCTGTGAAAAATGATGGCAATTATTAGAAAGTTTTAATAGTGAGATGCAGTGAAACAAAAATCTTGAACCAATGTATTCAGATTTAATATAGTGGGGATAAAGTATTCACAATGAATCATTTAATTAATCCACTCCCTTTATATTTTTTTAGACGTTCAATAGTATCTATGATTTACTGATTACTCTTGTCATTATTACTGACTATCTTATCATGTTAAGAATTTTATGTTTAATACAACAGTGAAATGGAAATATCTCTGGACAGAAACAGATTAGCAACAGAATGACAAAGATGGTGACAATAAAGCCTACTTCATGACTAATTTGAAGCAAGATGATCACTTAATAGACAAAGGTATCTGAGTGTCTCACATGAAAGGCTTGAACAAATAAGACTATAATCTATAAAATGTAGGAGTAAAGGAACTGATTAATTAAACATTTCATTTTGCTTGGAACTAATTTTGTCTAAATAGAGATAAATATTTTATTTGTATAGACTATTATAATGACTAAGGGAACTAGTCACTCAAATTTACTAACTTGAGTTGATTTATCTCTCTTTCTGGTACAGATGAAACAGGCCATGTATAAATAAGTACACTTTGACAATTATTATATTGTTTGATTTGATAATATTATAACACTATATTATTGACAACAAAGGAAATTATAAATTGTTGTTCTATTGCCAATTCTTTTAAAAAATAATCTGTTTGTCCACAATCTTACAATCTTTTCAATTAATGACTCAGTTTCAGAAGATTTTACCAGAAACGCAAATGAAAAACTATTGAATATCTGTGACCGATATTAGAATAATCCAAATGGGTCTAAGACAAGGACATGTCTTCTCACTAGACTTATTCAACCAAAACAGTGAGGCTATTTTGAAAGAATTAAAAGTCCTATCAGGATTCATTAATGGTAGCCACCATCTTAACAGCATAAGATATGTAGATGACATAATGTTGATAGTAGACATGGAAAAGAAACTGCAAAGAAAGGACTAAGCATCAATTGCAAGATGATAGTTGTTAGCAAAAGGAGGAGTAAGATATTGCAAATTACCAAAATCAAAGTAAAAATAATTTAAATATCTGGGAAGTGTTTCAACAGAGGACAGAAAGTGTAACACTGAAATTCAAAGGCACATTGAAATAGAAAAAAGATGCCTTTTCAAAGTTAAGTATTAAGAAAAAGGAAAGTTTCATTAGAAACAAAGAAAAGAGTCTGAACTATTATGTAATATCATTCCTTCTATATTGCACTGAATGCTGGACAATTTACTCGCATAAGAATCGAAGCAACATAAATGTGGTTCTACGGAAGGATGCTGGGAATATTATGGACTTGAACATCTGAGCAATGACAAAGTTTTAAATAAAATTGAAGTGAAAAAATAAACTTATACTTAGCATCAGGAAGAGATAGTTGAAATTACTAGGACACAAAATGAGAAAGAGGGCTTGGAAAATATGATACTCACAGGAAGAGAATGAAGACAAAAGTGACAAAGGAAAACATGTAACCTATCTAGTAAATCTGAGTAAACAGATGGCAGTGCAAGGTTTAGAAGTGATTAAAAAAAAGAATTTATTAAGAACTACAAAGGACAGGAAATTGTGGAGAACCATCATCACATGCATCCTAAAGGGACACAGGATATAAAGAAGAATAGAGAATAATATAAATTAATTTTGAAATATTGATTCCAGCTGGCCTTTTGGCAGAGCCTAAAATGCTGCAATTAAACCCAATGCCCCAAAAGTAAATGCACATAGACTCAAATATAAATGACCAACATTTACCCATTCTTAAACAAAGTAAATGCTTACAGATACATAAAAAAGGACTAATTTTGACATTAAATAAACCAAGAGGGATTGATTTGTACTTGTAAAAGATAAAACCAACACATCAATGCATGATTCCAAATTTGTTCATTGGTATTTAATGTAAACACATACAGATTAAATTAGATATGGAAAGATCAACCTAGATAGAAATAAATAGGATGGATTATGAGATAAATAATACATAGGATGAGAAAACTGTTTCCTTTTTAATATTTTTAATAATTATTTTTCAGTTGCCGAATAATTTTTCAGAAAGTTTTTTTTACAAGTACAATAATGAAAATATTTTGTTATAAATAAAAATAATTTGCTAGAATGAGAGTAAATTTTGAAATAGGCTTTGAATAGTTTTTTCTTTTTTTTTTGTTGCAGATGGAACATAGATAATGAACAGCCACAGATAAATAATGAACTCACAGATAGATAACAATCACGGATAGATAGATAGATAGATAGATAAACAGACTTGGATAGATAGATAGATAGATAAGAACAAAGATAGACAGATAACAAAGATAAATAGATAAAAATATTTTCTATATTTTTAATAATTATTTTTAAGTAGCTGAATAATTTTTCAGAAAGTTTTCTTACAATTCTCATGAATAAAAATAATTTGCAAAAATGAAAGTTAATTTTGAAATAGAGTTTTTTTTAGTTGTACACACAACACAAACAAGAACATTTTCAGATAGATAAATAACAGTCTTGGATAAATATAGGACTGTCCCAGATAGATATAGATAGATAAAGAACAGCTTCAGATAGATAATATTTGGAATGATAAACTCACAGTTCCACTGTCAGGGAAGAGCTGGTTTTCTGAAAATGTCTCCCTCCACCAAGAGTCAAAAATTTTGCGATGATCCCTGATTAAGCAGCCAGCAAATGCCCAGATGCAAGAAAAACTGAAGCAATGTTCATAATCCTCAAAACTCTTTGGATTAATGGAATTTTCCAAAGCCTAAATGGATTAAATTTTGCATACATTATTGAATTTATTCCTTTTGTTGCGATCATATAAAAAAAAAAAAAATGATTATGTTAACAGAATCATTTAAAAAGCAACCTCTTCAAGAATGGAGAATATTCAAGTTTCATTAAACTTCAGTTTCTGATATTAGGTGGCATTAAGAATTTTATTTTAATTTCATTAATCTAATAATTTCTACCAAACCATTTTTGAGACAGTAGTCATTAATGGGTTGAAGTTGGAAACCTATTATTGATACTGGATTTTTATTTTAATTTTTATAATACCAATGTCTCCAAATGTCACATTTGATTGCAATGAATGTTGACTTATCAGCATGAATTTTAAAAATACTTTGTCCAACTGGTTAAATTTTTGTATACCAATTGCTAACATCGCAGACAAATTAAAATAAGCAACAACCTTTCAACTTAAGAGTTTAAGTTTTAGATAGATTAATTTATCATGAATACAGAAGCCAATAAAGTCCCAAATCCATATAACTTAAAATTTGTACAAAACAAAATGATGGCATCAAGTAGTGTAATGGTTAACAAAGATAAAACCAGTGTGAAATCAGATCAAATGACTAAATAGCAGAATTTTTTCCTAAACACTTCTTTAAATTACAATGGTCCTGGGTCAGAGTGCACAATTACTACAATGTTCCTTGGTCAGAGTGCACAGTTACTACAATGTTCCTGGGTCAGAGTGCACAGTTACTACAATGTTCCTGGGCAGAGGTGTCAATCCATATGTAAATAATTGAGTTATATTTTATGTGTACAATGCCACTAAATATTAAACCAAACCAAATGAAAAAAATATCATTACCTTCCAGTATGAACATAAAGTATGGATTGCATTATCTGGTGTCTGCTTAACCATCCATTTGCAAGAAGACAGAGTGCTGTCCACTTCCATTGGCCCTGGGCTGAACTTGCCATTGCCCTGGCAACAATGCATTAAATGGGGCAGGTATTTTTCCGTAAGTAAATGAAGATGTTCTTGAGATTTTTCTGGTTGGCTGCCAAGCCACATTTTCCACAAGACTTGCCAGCCAATATCTGAGGAGGTCATCTGGAAAATTCCAACTTGGGACACAAAGCTTGGAGTTAGATTCTCCATGTCTTCCAGCTGCAGGAATCAGTAAAATTAAAATTACTTGTGGCAAATAAGAAGTAAAATAAAAACTATTGGTTTATGACATCTTTTATTTCCTTATTCATAAATTTCGAAATGTAAGAAGGTACAGCTTTGCTCACACTAATTTTGGACATTTTGCACTCATCTGAAAATCCCTGAAGTGTATCTCATAATAAAACCAACCTTATTTTGTAAGATACTATCAATATTATTTGATTCCTTTACCAGATGTCTTCATGAAATGTAAAATGCTTTTAAATATGATAAAGATGTTTCTGAATGTTTTTTGCTTTTACCTTAATGTTTAAGGTGAAAATGTATTGAAAGTGCATGAATTTCAGAACCTGTACAGTAAATTTATTTCCAGGATTATAAAACATAACTCTTTTCCTAACAAAATTAAGTCTTGAGATAAATAATTGTTTTATTGATGGAATTGTAATGAAGAAAGGTTTAATCTCCTTTTTATGTATCTCCCACTATGGGCTTTTTTTTTTTTTAATTGGTATCACCCCATACAAGGCATTAATGCCACTAAGACATGAGGGGTTATAGGGTGTGGAAGAATTAGGATCAGAAACATTAATAATGTGCAGGAAGAGGGAAGAGTAATCAGGAGGACAGTAGATAGTGATTGACATTGCATTTAAATTTTTGCAGATTAAAGTTGGCTGGAAAGCATGGAACTGGAAGGGAGTTTCACAAGTGAGAAGTGCGAGAAAAGAAACTGTTAGCATAGAATTTATGGTTACATCTAGCCAGCTCAACTGTAAATTGATGAGATCTTGATACCAGTCTAGTAGTGTGTTTAAATTCAAAGTATATCCTAATATAATTACACCATATTTCATGGACAGAACAGAATGGTTGAAAGGAAAAAGAATGAGAAACATGTTTGGCTCTCAGAAACTTTTATGCCACAAAGACATAGATAAAACTATATTTTGGCAGCATGTCATTATTGAGGCATATGTTATTGAAGATTATGGAACTTTTCCATTTAATAATCTTTCTTTTGATTTTTTTTTCTTGCAAGTTTCTTTGCATTTGGGTCTAAGTTGTTGGAAAAAGACACTAGTCTTTGGTGTTTTGCCAAGTACTTTCAGTTGTCATCAACCATCATCATGGCTGTAAGCTTTTGGTTTTAAGTAGATTGATTTTTTTTATAGATATTATTTTTGGGTATTCAGGCCATGTTGTTGGATTAGTTCACTAGTATTTGGGAGGGGGTTGGTATTTATTATTTGGAGGATTAGTTATTAAATATATTTAAGATGTTTGTGCCAGTATGAAATCCTATTTTATTTATGTTGGGTTTTTGGTTTTTAATTGTGATGGCTTTGAGAATTTGTAAGTATTTTTTGCAATTGTTTTTGCAAAGGATTTTGGTATTGTTGATTATTGTTGATAATAACTAACATCTAAACAAGAATCTGCAATATTATCAGTCCTGACCTGACATCTTAGCTTCAGTCACTTTCCCACTGCGATAATGTAGCTTCCACTCTACCTCTTCTATAAATATTTTCATGATAATCATTCTAATGAAATTTTCTTGTTTGTACCTAAATTTCACAAATTTAGCCACAGTACTAGATTGGCAACTAGATTTCATATTTTCACTGTGTTGTTGAAACTGTAAGTTCTATGTCAATAATTTCTTCTCTTGCACTTTTCACTTGTGGAATTCTCTTTTAGCCTGTTGTTTTCCTAACAAGTATGATCTCCAAAAATTAAAAATTCAGCATCAGTTTTTATCTTCTGTTTCCATTAATCCTGTTGTTTCTTTCATTGCCCTCTCTCATCAGGCATCTTAGTGGATTTTATTGATTTGTTTGTGGTAAAATGATTTAAAAAAAAATTAAAATAGACAAAAATACAGTAAACGCTGATTACAGTTTACAACAAAATATTAAAAGATAAGGTATACAATATTTGAAAATTTTAAATTTCTATCTGTCTATATTTCTGAGATGAGGTATTTAACTGTTTTATCTGTCTATATTTCTGAGATGAGGTATTTCAAATTTTTACTGTCTATATTTCTGAGATGAGGTATTTCAAATTTTTACTGTCTATATTTCTGAGATGAGGTATTTCAAATTTTTACTGTCTATATTTCTGAGATGAGGTATTTCAATTTCTATCTGTCTATATTTCTGAGATGAGGCATTGTAATGATTTACATCATTCAGACTGTTGTCATCATCTTTATTGCTATATTCACAACATTTTGACTGTTGTTCACTCCAACATTCTTCAGGTGATACATGTGGTAATTTTGAACACATGGCACAATGAATCTAAGCATTGGCTGAATAATCCATAAAGTAACTTGACCCAAATGTTGTGAGTTCAATACGCGGCCATGGCAGAGTGAACAAAAACTTGTAGAGATGACTTACTAAAGGGAATTAACTGATACTAAGATATCCAAAAAAACACATGGCACATGGAATTCAAACAATCTACCCCTGTGAACTAATTAAAGGGTTTGGTTCCAAATTCCCACATATCACCTGAAGAATGTCAGTGTGTACAAATGTACAGAGTGCTAAAATGTCATGAATATGACAAAGTTTAATTCTTTAGCATTTGATATATCTAAATTTAGCCACATTCAGGTTTTACCCCTTTTATTTTCATTGTTATTCTTTTTAATTATCCCATGTATAAGGATCAATTTTGCAAGAAGCAGAATTATATTTACCATTAAAGATTCTGAAATTAGTGCACTTTCAATACATTTTCAATTAATTTCTTCCTTTTAATCAGAAGTGCACTTTTGTAAGTTAAAAATAGAACCAGACTTGTTCTGATGTAGACTTTGTTGTTACATAAGATTTGAAATGCATCACAATATTCTATCATCTAACATATTTGCTATTATTCAAATATTTTTACAAACAATTGTAATGAATTATCCAAATTGCATTATTGATATCCAAATAAAATTATTCCTGCAGAAGTTAAATGGCATCTGCACTAAAAATATAGTACAACAAAACATTAATATCTTTTAGTGCAACCAGATGCATAGAAAATAAACAAGATGAATTTACCATGTGACACAACATTAAACAATACATTTCATGTGTTGACCCCCAGCAAATATGTAAAACTTACATTATAGAAAAAATAAAATCTGCTAACTTCTTAATTACCAATAACAACTTGTCCATCAAATCTAAACTTAAAATTGACTAAATATAGCATATCAATTTTGCTACTCAGTACAAGACTGCATCTCTTGTCATAAACTGATTATTTACAATGGATATGCATTGATGACAATCAGTAGAAGGATGACAAATCACTTATGTTATCTCAGTAATATAAAAAGCATCTAGACACCAACAAACATCTGCTACCTCCACTAGAGAAATTATTATTGATAAAGCTATCATTCTAATGAAATCTAATTGATGTCTTAAGATAATGGAAGTTCTTTATATGAAACAATTCAAGCCAAACCTTAACCATGCCAAATTTGACAATGGGAGTAATGTGTTGATGGTTTTTTAAAAGACACCCTAACATGGAATCACAACAACTTTCATTCTTGCACAACTTAAAACTTCTATTACTTCCATACAACTTAGAGCACAATGAAAACATTAACAACAAACTCCTTTAAAATATGTAATGAATTTATCAAAAGCACTTGGGACAAAAATCATTATGGACCCATTTCTATTCTCTCTTAGCTTCACCTCAAAAGAAAACTGGAACAATATTAGAAAAACTTAAAAAAAAAAACAAAGATTTTCCTTATCTGTCACATTCAGTGAAACAGGTATAAAAGAAGGGTTGCGTCCCAAATATACAATATTTATATATATATATATATATATATATATATATAAAAACTTTATCTGTAATACACTCTCTAATAATACAAATACAATAGGATCATCCATATCTACAAAAAGGTTAAAAATAATGGATTTATTATTAATAAAAAAGAAAAAGCCAATACTCAATAATATCACCTATGAACATGGCCACAATGTGCTGGCCTTATTTGGAAAATAAAACATTCCTATAACTCTGGATACATACATAAAAAAAATTTATATTCAGCTAAAAGTAAAATAAAATTCATCTTTGACAATGGCTAAAAGTATAGCTGAAAGTGCTGGGAAAACATTTGGACAATTATACATGCATTTGTAGTTGTTTTCAATGTTGAAATTGTGTAGTGAAGTTCCCTCAATATGGGGTGGGCAGGGGTGTCCCTGTCATCTTTCAGATTGTTCATCTATTTTATTAACAGAATAATACTTTCTCACACACACATATATGCGTGTATGAAATTTTATAGAAAATATGTGCTCTCTAACAGAATATATTATCTGTTTATAAAAATCTAAGACTTATAAAAATAACGTATAAACAGAAAATATATTAAATAATTGTCAGACTTAATCCATTTCATATGTTGTCATTGTTTACATTAAGAGATGTTTTGTGAGCAGAAATGATTGATCAAGAAAAATCATCAAAGGCATGTATTTATAAACAGTAATTCAAGCTTTGCTAACCTGATGCTTCTCTATGGCTGAATGGTTAATAGAACATCAGATCAAATGACATTTCCCATATGGGTTACAGGTTCAATTCCTGATGGAGGCCATATATTTTCTATGAAATTTGTCAAAAATTCAGGCAGGTAAATGTAATTAATACTGTTTAATTAAAAAAAGAGCATTTACTTAAATAAATTTTATCTATAAAAATAACGTATAAACAGAAAATATATATATATATATTTCTAGGAGTAATGGATTTATTCAAAAAAACAATATTTCTTATTACTGTTAACATTATTTTAGTGGGTACATGTGTTTAAGTAGGTATCTCTGTTTATTGACAATTAGTGAAAGTTATGCCCACTTGCCTAGATCAGTAAAAGTCTTATTAAAGAAAATGTA